TGCTGCCCCCGCCGCAACCGCGAGCGTCGAGCCGCGACGGAACCAGGCGCCCGCCGCGTCTGGCTTGCGTTCGCGACAGCCTGTCTGCTCTATATATCGTGCTGCGCCGACGCCCGAAAAGACATAAGAAGAACAACGCTTCGCTTCTTCTCCTTCGTCGTTTGTTTCATGCTCCTCTCCCTCGCTGATCCAGGAGAGGTCTGCATTGCACTGTCTGCGCCCCCGAACCCTTGAAGCCCCCGCCGCAGCCGTGGGCGCCGAGCCGCGACGGAACCAGAAGCCCCCTGCGTCTGGCTCGTATTGGCGGCGCCTGCCCTTGCTATATTGGGTGGGGGGATGCGACCGAAGTGAAGTGGAGGGCACTTGTACTTGCACATGGTGCTGACAGCGTAGCGTGGCTGCCATTGAGGACCAGGGTTTAAGTCCGCCCCAAGAGACGGTGCCAGCAGCTTTGTGCCACCTGCTTGCTGCCCGAGGCCGTCGAGGCTTCGGTCCCTTATCTTGTCGGCCGGTCCCTTTTCGTTCGGCTCTGGCTCGGGTCCTCGGTCCGTCCCTCGCCCCCTTCGGCCTTCGGGCCCTTCGCCGTTCGTCTGCTTTGCAGGGGGCTGAGGCTAGTCGTCAGCCCGCGCCCAGGGCCACTCCCACGCACTGTCGAAACGCGCGCGCCAGGGTCGCGGGTGAACGGCGCAGCGCAGCGCGGCAACGTTCGTTATCGACAGAACGCTGAGGCCATTGCCGGGAATCGGAGGGCGGAGTGCGAGTCTTGCGCGGGGGGGCGAGAGGCGAGGAAGCTCGTTGCGACATCGCCAGACGATGCGCGTTTCCGCGACGGCAGTTTCGTCGAGGCCGTCGCAATTTATGCCTATCAAGACATCAAGTGGCACGTGGTCAAGCAGAGAGCCGCGCAGTGGGCGAAGCAGCAAGGAGAGCTGGTGCTCTGGGTCGCAGCCAGAGACCGCCCTTGTCACGGAGAGGAAAAGAGGCGGTCTTACACAGCGGGGGACAACATGTAGTGGTTGGTGCCGCGACCAGGAGTGCGCGAGCTTCTGCTGCCGCTGGCAAAGGGCACGCCTGTGTCCTTGGGGGGTCATTTAGATCGGTCGAAAAAAGCAGCTTCTGCGGGGGCGCGCAGCGAAGATTCACGGGCGGGCGTTGCACGAGGACGAGGTCGTGGGAGACGAAGACGAGGAGGCGTTGCCGCATTTGCCGCGAGTCATCTTGCTGGACCTCGCGCGAAGGACTGGAACCTGCCAGGGTGGGGCTCGGGGCTGCGCCCATTTTTCCCGTCGATAGTACGCCTGTGGTTCCTGGGCGGGCATCGGAGGCACCCGGCGTCGGTTGTAAATCTCACTCAGCACATGTTCACGTCGTCTTCGGCAGTCACAGCGCGCGCCGCGCAGGGGCGAACGACGGCCGCAGTCATGTCGGATCCTGAAGGAGGGCGCGGCGTCGGTGGGATGTCCAGTCACGGGGCCTTCGCGCGCGTGCGAAGGCGGGGGAACTTGTTGAACTTCTGGCCTTTTGACAGGGGGCCATGTAGACCGGGCGAAATGGTGGGGGCGAAAGAATTGAAGCAGGTTCTCCGAGGGGAGGTCGTGGACTGGGAAGGGTGGGGAGCGGACTTGCTGCCGCGGGGTCAGCGCGAGCGGTTCCCGCGGAGGCTGCATGCGGAATCCTCCGAAGTTTGTGTCCCAGAGGAAGGGCAGAGCAGCGTTCTGTAAGGGGCGCGCAGAGGCTGCGGAGGGAGGGCGCCGGGGAGATGTGGCGCAAAGTTTGCGGAGCAGTTGCAGCGGAGTGGGAAGGTCTTGGGCCGGCGCGGAAGGGGGCCGGCGAGGGGGGCGCGGAAGTTGCCGTCGTGGAGGAGCCTAAACATATTCGGACCATGTATTGCGCGACATGCCGCCTGCGAGAGCGCGGCAGAATTCGCGGCGTGGTAGCGCGAAGTGGAACGAGAGCGCAGGCGCGGCGCGGTGCTCCAGCGGCAAATGCTCGTCGCTGTTCGAAGAGCGGGCGCCGTTATCGGAAGCACAGCAGAAGCGCGGTGCAGCAGGGGGGAGGTCGTGCGGAAAGTTCGCGGAGGAGCGGCATAAGGCGGCTCTCGGGGCACGCGGCCGCAAACGGAAAGTCGAGGCGGAAGCGCAGCCGTTGACGCGCTGCTCGGCAGGATGCATTTTTTTGGTATCGGAAAACGGCTCTTTGGAACAAGAACCATGTGAAGAATCGCCTGGCGGCGATCGGACTTCGCTGGGTGCCACTGCGAAGGGAGTGGCTGATGCGGCGAAGCGGGTGAAGAGACAATTGATGCGTTTGGCCCGCGAGAAGGAGTTCCCGTGGCAGGGGCGCATCAGTGACAAACAGGAGAGCGATCACTTCATGCGGAAGCGTAAGGTTGCGTGCGCAGATCGCGAACGGGAAGCTCCCGGAGTGCAATTTTGCCGCTTGGCCGCATTTCGCGCGTTCAAGTGCAAGTCGCGCGCGCGAGGCCCGCTGCAGAGTTTGGAGCAGGGCGCTCGGAATCGACTATGGGAACACGACGAGAAGGGGGATGCGGGGGGAGGAGGGGGAGGATGAGGAGGAGGAAGCGTCTTGGAGCCTGAAGGCATTCCTTGCGCGGCTGGTCGGACCCGTCGGGGGCGATTGCGGCGCCCCAGAGGTGTTTGTTGACGCCCTGGATCTGCAGACTTTGCGAGCTCCGGGGGTGTGCAATCTGCCATGGGTTTCGTATCATTTGGACACGTTTGCGGGGCAGCGTTTGCGGGGGGCTCCGCGGGGCGAGTTTGGCGGGACAGCGTTGGAATCATGGGGGGGGGGGTTGCAGCATTTGTAGCTGGCAGTTGTAGTGGTTCCCGCGCAAGCAAACGAGAAACAACCTTCAGAGACGGCGGACGCATGTGGAAACACCAGAGGAAGGGTCCGCGTATAGCCTGCGGCCCGTCCCGCCACCATGCCCAAGTGGTGACTGAGAGGCCAATGGATTGTTCGTTGGGCTCTCACGGCAGGTCTGTCGGGGGCCTGTTCAAAGCAGGTAGGGGTCGTTTTGGTTCGTTTTGGGGCTTGGGGGGGGATGGTACCTTTTGACGCCTCCGGGGTGCCTGTTGTGGGCCTGTTTTACGCTTGTCGGGGCTTCTTAGGGCCGCAATGGGCGCCTCTTGGGGCGTCCTGGGGGCGTCTGGGGGCCGAGGGCCCGAGACGGCCGGTCGGGTCTCCCGTCTGGGTCCCCCGGTGGCGTCGTTTTGGGGGCCTCTTGGGCCGTCTTGGAAGCCTCTGGGGCTGTCTTAGGGTCCTCCTGGTCCGTCATGCGAGTCCTTTTGGGTTGTGTTTGGGCGATAGTGGGCCCTTGCCGGGGCGGCTTGGAACGTCGGGCAGACGAAAACGCGAGATGCCGAACAATTTTCACACCCATGGAAAAGCTTACATTTGTGCCTCTTGGTGCGCTTTTGGGCAGCCTCTTGGGCGCCTCTTGGCGCGTTTCGGCGGCCTCTTGGGTCCATCTGGAAGGTTTTGGATCGATCTTTGGGTGTCTGGGGGCCCTCGGGGGCCCTCTTGGAGGCCTCTTGGGAGGCGGCTCGGAGCTGGAAAGAAAATCTGGAAAGGGCTGGGCTGCCGCCGGTGAGTTCGGGGGTGGGTCGCGCGCGGCCATGGGGGGGGTCAAATTCCCGGCTCGGAGTCCCTGGGGGGCACTAAGGGGGGAACCTGCTCACGCGCCCAGAGACCCACAAGGGGTCCGTGGATTTCTTGCGTTTGCGCTGGAAACCCCTGGCGCTGCTGGAGACACCCCTGACGGCGCTTCCGGCGCCTCCCCTGGCGCCCCCCGTCCGCGCTGAATTCCTAAGGTTTGCGTTTGTGCAGTTGTTGTGCTACTCGAGGAGTGGGATCATCCAGAATATTTCTCTGGCGTCTCAGAAATCTCTCCAGCGCATGGGGGGACGAACATTAAATGAAGGACTAGGGGAGGGCGTTCCTTCAGATGCTGCGTCCGCTTGGCGTTTCGCGATATGATCGTGAGGCTGTCATTGTTTCAGCGTTGCATCTTCTCAGATACCCCCACTCGCCTGACAGTACTAGCTCGCATGCTCACGTTTCACCTCTACGTGCGTTCGTTTCTGTTCCCACTGGTGGCGTTGCGCATCGCGTCCACATCGCGGACAATCACAGGGGGTCCAGGCACAGTGAGAAATCTAGAACCTCAGCGCGCGTGACGCGCGCAATGCATCTAGTGGAGATCCAGAGCGTCATCGCACACTTGTCCGTCATGCCTGTCTGCGAATGTTCGGGAATGTTTCGTCGTGTTTCGTCGTTCGTCGGTTCAACATTTCCCTCTGTCAATCGCCTGTTGTTGTCATAAGCTCCGTTCTCACACCCATGTATTTACAAACGTCTGATCCCGCAGTGGGAAGCATATCCGTCGGAAGAACTCCTCAGCCTCCATGGATCCTCCGTGGTCGTTCCCTTTGTTTACCCACTGGCCAGAATTGAGGGAGTCGCGGTCCTCAACCGGCCGCATGAGCCCATGGGCCTTGACCCCCATGGCCTCCTGCTGCCGTTGCTCTCCCGGGTCGTCCATCTTTGGGGGCTTCATGGCGATGGGGATGTTCATGTATAAGTTTTCAGACACGCCCTGTCCACGGAGTTTGGTTCCCCACAGGGGAGTTAAGAACTACAGCGATGTTGTGGCTGGTCGGCTCTATCAGCAAACCGCGGTCGAAGTCTGGAGTTTCAGCGGGGCCTTAGTGCATGGGAGTTGACGAGTATATTCTCGAAGCATGCTGGTGGGATTTGCTGCGCAGGTGTACCGACGAGCATGGTCTGGACGCCCGAGAGACTTGATCTGAGTTGTTCGTAGTCGCCGCCCTCGTCCTTGACGGGCTCATCGTGCTCCGCCTCTCCGGCTCTTCCTCGTTGCCTTCAGTACTTAAATTCTTTCCGCCCGCTCTTTCTCTTGCCCCTCATCCCCCATCATAATTTTCTGAACATATTTCTCCTCTTCCAATTTCACCCAGGTTGGAGAGCACTCCCTGACCCTGAAGGTGGAGTGCGACAGCGGCGCCATGGTGCCCCTGCGGCTGACGGGCATCGCGGACGCGCTGTGCCCACGGGGTTGCCGAAACGACCGTCCGCGTCTGGCTCCTTTCCTCGTCCTCGTCCCCCTCGTCCCTCCTCCCTCACGTCCGTAGCCACTTTGACTAGAGATCACCAGACTTGGGGCTGCGAGCCTCAGAGCATTCAGTTCAAGAAGCTTACAGGGCAGCAGAGGCAGCAGCGGCAGAGGATAGTGGCGGAAGAGATCTGCCGCATGTCGCGGGTCAGCAGCTCTCCAGGACGGCGAGTTTTGAGCAGGCTGAGTGCAGAGGAGGTGGTGACGCCGAGGGTTGGACAAAGCGTTCCTGATGGGAGGGCGTCGGGCAGGCGGCCTGATGAGCTGACGGCGAGGCGTCCTGGGCTCCGACGGGATCAGAGCAGGAGCCAGCTGCCAGTAACTAGGAAGAGAGCAGAGCCGAGGAGGCGAGGAAGCCGTCCATCAGGCGCCTCCTCGTGCCCCTTAGAGCGCAGCGCCAGGTGCAGAGCGTGGATGTCATCCTACCGCCTGCGCGGAGGTATCCACGGGCATCTGAGAGGAGGAGCCAGCCAGCCCTGCCTCCCGGGGCTCCACCACAGCGGTGGGCTCAGGCGCCTCAGGGCAGCAGGAGTCTGCCTTGCTCTGGCGCCCTGGCCGCTGCACGGCGCGGAGCCAGGCGGCGCGTCGCCGCGTGTGGCCTCTGCTGGCGAGCCACCGGCCGCCGATCCGATGATCGCCGTGTACGACAGGTTTGCGTCGTGTCGGCCAAAGGCAATCCCGCCGCGGGCGTTCATCGTTGAACGCTGCGGGCGACCAAGAGTCGGTCGATGCTGAACGATCGGACGTTTCGGAAACGGCCGATCGTTCAGGGTGGCACACTCCTCGCGGTGTCGGATAGCAACGCCAGTGTCGACACTGCTGCCTCCCCCCGGGTTCTTTTTGGGACCCTCGTCAGAGACCTCGTCCGTATGATCCGCATATCCCGTTCACTTGCCTCTCGTCCTCGTCCTCCCTGCCCCCCCATTAATTGTCCTTCTTCCCTCCCGCGTTTTCCCTCCTCTCTGTCTCCCTCACGCCCATCTCCCCCGACCTTCATCCACCGTTTCAACTCCTTCTCTGACCCATCAAACGCCTCCAGGAGGCTCCAAGCACATGCAGGACATCGCAAACTCTAGCAACAACCAACATCGCCCTGCCCATCTCCCAAAGCTCCCCTTCTCTTCTCCATCAGATATCATCCCTCCTCCCTCATGCCGTCTCTGTATCTTGCATCCGTGTAAGTGTGGGCTTCTGCTTTAGGGAGCGGCCTCGGAGGCATGGCCTCGACAATGTTGTGGGACGTGTTGTTTCTTGATGTACAGTGGGAGCGCCACGTCCAGGCTCTTTGTTAGACTCCCACGGAGGGGACATATGGGGGTGGTTAAAGCCCGCAGGGAAAAAAACAGTCTCTTGCCTTCGTCGTATCAATCAACCCGCCCGTCGTCAATTACACAATTGCCTCCGCAGAATTAATCGTATCCTCTGACGATTCTCCTACATTCCGTGTTCCCCTATCCCTCTTTTTTTCTCTTGCTTTCCCCCTTTCGCACATCCACATAAACACCAGCGGCGACAATGGCATGTTCACGTTTCGGGGGATGATGAGACCCAGAGCGGCGGCCAAATCCGAGCATATTCACGCATGCGTGGAAGTCGCTCATGTTGCGCAAATCTGAATTGATGAGAAAACGGTGCAGCCACAGATCTGGCGTGCGCGTGTATGACAGCACGGTAATGCCGACAATGCTGTATGTGACTCCGAGCGGGATTTTGACGCGGAGCATTCATCACCGGAGACAGGGGTCGCGTTGCTTGGCGAGTTTGTGCGTGTGTGTCGCATTCCACCGAGGATTGACCGCTACTTTCCCTGGGGTGGGTGGGAAGCTCTGCCACACCTGTGTCATAGTTCACGGCCCAGACACCCGATTCAGACGAGGCTTTGCAGGCAAACGCGTTTCGATGAGGTGGTATATCTGGGGGGATGCAGCGGAGCGGGGCAGGAGGAGGTGGTGGTCGCTTCGGGGAGGGGGAGGGGTCTCTTCGGGGAGGAGTCAAGAGGGAAACATTGACAGACACGATGAATAGTCGATGTCCATGAAATGATGGGGAAACAGGGGAGATGAAGGGGAAGACAAAGATCTCGGGGAAAAAACGGGAAAATATTGGGAGTCCTGCAGTGTACGCCCATTTGTTTGTGTGTGTATGTGTGTGTCCCTGGGCCCCTTCAAGGAGGAGCTCTGATTGATTGCAGCGCTGGCGCTTGCCGGCACGTGTTGCTGGATTCTCTGGTTGACTGTTTGAGTGCAATGCTGCTGTGCCTGGTACGCTTCGGCTTCCCAAGGTCCAGTTGTTGAGTCAAACCTGGCTGGTCCTGCCAGTAGTCATGGGCTCAGTGGGGGAGAAGGAGGAGGAGGAGGAGGAGGAGGAGGAGGTGGTGGTCGATTCGGGGAGGGGGGGATCTCGCCGGGGAGGAGGAGCCTCCCCGTTCTCCGTCCTTCCAAGGCGCCTGGAGCTGGCCCGCTGGCCGGGCCTCTCGGGCCCCGTGGTGCCGAGGGCCCCGCCGCGAGGCTCACCCGTGCGGGGGCGGCAGATCGCATTGTTATGCCTCCTCCTGGAATCCCCCGTTGAATCCATCCCTCCGCATCCGTGCATGTTTTTCATATTTGTCTTTCCCTCCTCGTGTCCTTCCCGAGGGGAACGAAGAATGACATACATCTGAAAACTCTGAGGTCCGCGTAGATTTCTCGGATCGGCGTTGGACCCCGATCCGGGGAATCCAAGCGGACCTCCGAGTTGTTGTAATTGATTGTTGCCATATCCCCATCCTCTTCTTCTTCATTTCACTCTCTCCATCACCTTGTTCTCGCCCTACTCCACTTCTCCTCTTTCGGCTGCGACCTTGTCATACTTGTCATTTGCCTCTTTGCGCTGTGCTTTCCTTTACTGTCTGACGGGTGGGGGGACGATCGGACGACAGTGATTGGCGGGGTGAAGGGACAATGTCAAGAGGAGAGGGGGGTCGGTCACGGGGCTCCTCCAGTCTTCACTAATATATTTCCATGTGTTTGTTATGTTCGTGCTCTCTCCCTACGTAGGCTTCCTGGACCCCTCGGCCGTGGCGCTACAGTGAGAGACAAATGCAGTCTTGTAAGTTCAGCTGTTCGTGGGATTTGCGGTATCCCCTAATTGGTTTATCAAAAATGCAGCAGCAGTTGAAGGGTTGAATGGACTGCAGTGAAGTACAAATATTTAATCGCATCGCTCATTACGCCAGCCCATATTGCCTCGCCGCTGTCGTTCGTCAGGGTGTTGTTGTCAATGCGGTGCGGTTGTGCGGCTGCCATTTTCCGGAGGCGGTGGGTGACGGGTCAGAGGCCTCACGGATGTTGGTTGGGCTCTCGTGGTTGGCCTCTCAGAGGCCTTTGGGAGGCAGTTTCGAGGCCTCTTGGGGGCCGTGTTGGGGCCCCTGGGGCCTCTTGGGGGCCTCTTGGGGCTTCTTGGGGTGCCTCTGGAGGGTCCTCTTGGGGCCTCTTGGGGGCCTCTTGGGGCTGAAGGCTGGACTTTCCAGTTCCTGGTCCCCTTCTTGGGCCCCTCTTGGGGCCTTTTTGGGGCTTTCTTGGGCCGTCTTGGGCGCCTCTTGAGCTGTCTTGGGGCCATCTTGGGCCGTCTTGGGGCCCTCTTGGAGGCTTCGTGGGCCGTCTTTGGGCGGTCTTGGAAGCTTCTTGGGCCGTCTTGGAGCGCCGGTAAGCCGAAAAGGCGAGAACGCCAAATTCCGTCAGAGTCTAGAGGAACATCACTAAGTTCTGTCTCTGGGCCCTCTTGGGAGGTCTCAGGGAGGCCCCTTGGGGCGTCTTGAAGGCGCTTTACTTGCCGGGGTACTTTTCGTCCGGGGACTGGTCCAGGGGCGGCCCCGCGCGCGCGAACTAGAAATATTGTTAACCAGCTGCCGAAGATCTTAGCACGCCCTTGGCCCGTTGGGCCGGCGAATTGGGCAGGCATCTCGGTGAACCAACGCGGCTACCGTGCAGCCTGCTGTAATTCAACCGAACAGGCTTACACCGTCGTCTTCTCCCTCCCCTTCCCTCCCACCATCCCCCTTTTACTCGCCACCCATCCCTGCCACTCCCCTCCCCGTCTCCGTCATTCCCTCCGCTCCCACCCCGTTCCCTTCCCCCCTTCCTCCCCCCTTCCTCCCCCCCTCCCCTCCCCACCCCCATCCTTCCTCCCATCCCCTCCCCTTCTTTCACTTTCTCCTTTACCCACCGCCCGCTTTGCTACCCGCACCCCCTGCCCCCCCCCCACCCCCCCTCCTCGCATCCCCCTCCCCTCCCCTTGTTCCCCTCGCAACTCTCTAGAGCACCCCCCCGGCCAGGCGTGTCGCCGTGGTCGCTGGTGCCGTGGAGGCTGAATTGGACGACCCCGGGTACCCAAGTCGGGTGCAGTTCTTCGCAGACGATTGCCGCGGCCTGAGCGGCCACAGTTCCCTTCCCCCCCTTCTTGTCGTCCTGTCTCTCCTCCCTCCTCTCTCCCTCACTCTGCCACTGCTCAAGAAGCACGATTGAAATCAACCTGGGACGCTCCTTGGACGCACCACCGAAACACCCAAGGGCACGCTATCCTCGAGCCTGCGGGGAAAGAGTGCACCTGGGACGATCTTGGGACGCACCGCCGTCTGGCCCGATTCAGGGAACGAATTTGGGACGGCTCCCGGACGCGCGATTGTCTTGCCCCGAGACGTTCCAGTCTCGAGCGGGCGCACAGGGAACACACGCATCTGAGAACAGGCGCGAACGGAACGTGCGTGGGACGAGCAGGCCCAGTTCCCATCGATTCTCACCAGGGTCCGACAGGATGGATTACGAAGTGTCTGGTGCCGTTAATCTGCCTGGTCACCGCAGAGACGATGTTGGTTAAGCCAGTGTGGCTCAAGTCGATCCGGCTCTGGCGCGGCTGGCCTCTGCTGGTTGTTATATGTTTGCTAAAGTTGCCTGGGCAGAAGCATGTTTATTTCATAGCTTTATGGTGTCTTTGAAACGCCCTGGGCGTTTCTTTTGAATAATTTCCAGCTGGCGTGTCTTGTGAGCCAACAGCGGACACCTGGAACCGATCAACATCTGACCCTGGAAACTATCAACAACAACGTTTCCGCGCGATTAGTTGGAAACTATTTTAAACGAGCCAGCTCAAGCTGGAAACGGTGAGGAAACAGCGCCCTGCAAACTATACATGATCCCAGTG